GCATGTTAATTTTTTTTTTTTTTTGCTACCGACCCTATTATACCTAGAGAGATAGCTTTATAAAATTTAGTATATTTCATATTATGTAGAATAGTAATTTCGAAGAAAAAAATAACCGGTTTTCTGAATTTTTGAACCGGATATTCCGATAATCAATCCGGTTTCAATACTTTATATGTATATCATAAGAATGCTAGTAAACAAACAATTATCTGACTATCAGGTTCAAAAATTTGGAAAACCGGTTCTTTTTTTTCCTAAAAAGTACTTTTTCATTGCGTATTAGTCAAACCCTTATCTCTATCTCCCTTATATCTATCTCGTCATGTCCGGTTCTAGAGCGGCCAGAAAAACTGACAAAAATATAATTTTTGATCCATTTCATCCCCTAAATATTAACCCATCATTACCAAAAAACAATAGGGGTCTTCGTTGGCCAGAACCTGCCCCACATCCGTAACTGTGGCCTGTATCGTGTTTACAAATTATAATGGACACACATGTCTAAGTCGATTCAGCTAGTCGAGATATGACGATCGGTGTACTAAAAGGTAGGTCTATGACCATTATTTCGGTTCATTATTACACCCTACACAACTATGTTGTCAGGGTATTATAGCTTTGTGCAGCCCCAAGAGTTTGAAACGCTGCGAAATATTGGTCCTAGACCCACCTTTAAGTATACCGATCGTCATATCTCGTCCGTCTGTCCATTATAATTTGTAGACTCGATACAGGTCACAGTTATGGACCAATCTTCACGAAACTTTGCATGTAGGATGGGTTCTGCCCTATGAAGACCCCTATTGTTTTTGGTAAAGATCGGTTAATATTTTGGGTATGAAATGGACCAAATTTTTTGTCGGTTTTTGTCTGGTCGCTCCAGAGGCCGCAATTATGGTCCGAATATCGCGAAATTTTACATGGAGAAGGAGATTAGACCAAAGAATAAGCATGCCTGTTTTGATAAAGATCGGTCAATATTTAGCGGGTCAAATAGACCCTGACTTTTGTGTGAAAAATTACAAAATTGTTATTCTGGGGCGTATATACCTCCTCCTGAAGGACAGATATCCGAGAAGTTGGTAGTATATCCAAGAGGAGTTGTTGACCCTCAAATTGATACAAATTATATGGCTGTATGTACTCTGATGTGGGAGTTATACGTAATTAGGTAAAGGTGACTATGTGCATAGTATTACTATTACTCCATTTGAGGACGGAAATGTCGCGCTGATCGCTTTGAAATTATACATGAAGTTCCAATTATGGTCAAGGACGACGCCTATAGTTTTCGGTGAAGTTGAGATTTTATTCAGGGGGTGCAATGAACCGAAAACTTTAATTTTGTCAGATTTTCTAGTCGCTCTAGTGGCAATTATTATGTGCAGAACATCAAATATTTTACAAGGTGAAGGGGATCTGACCAAATACTTAGAGCGGCTGTTTAGATGATGATCGATCAATATTCCGAGGGTCAAATCAACCGAAAACTATAGTGACCAATTTTTTATTAACAAAAATTTGGAAAATATGCCAGGGTTAGAAAGTGGAGTTGTTGGTCTATAATCGGTAAAGGTAAAGGGTGCAGATATTACGAAATATTGCCCAGGCTCAGAATATAGAACTGCAGAAAGTTTGCTTTTCGTGGTAGTTGTGTAGTGTATCATATAGTCGGCCCCGTCCGATTATACTGCTCCGCTCACTGGTTAACTCTTGGTTCACATGAAGCTATAATACACTTACAACATAGTGGTGTAGGGTATAAAAATTGCTATAGGTCAAGAATTTGAGTTATGGCGTGATGAATTTGTTCCTGGTAACTCTAAAGTTCATAAGGCAAAAGTTTTATATATTTGTTTGTAGCTTTTGCAGTTGATTTTTGAGATGTCCTGTCTTCAGTCAAATCGAATGAGAAATATTTTTCTAAAATATATCCTCCTTCCACAAGGAGGGGTTTTTTAACCTCCAAATATTCTACATAAATATCGTTCATAAGGCTTTAGATAGGGGTCCCCAAAGACAAGAAATTATTATTCGCATGTTTTCATCGTCCATCGTCCACTTGTTCCCCATTCTTGGCCATTAGAAAATTAGGTCTATGAGCACAATTTTTGGGTGGGAGCGTACCAATAGTCTTCGAAGTTTGGAAGGAATATTACAATGTTCAAAATTTCAATAAAATCTGTAACTTTTTTCATGAATGATCGTGCTTTAATCAACTAAATTATCATTAGCCGTTAGGCTGAGTGTATAAACATGATGCAACTGTAAACTTTGGACTTCAGCACAACATGTCCACCTCAGTAGCTGCGTCAACACACAAAATTGTGGCAAATCGGGCTCGGAAACCCCCATAAACTGTTATTGAGAAACCTCTCCATCTGCTGTTTAGTGGAAGACATTGAACCTATTTTTTTTTTCAAAAATGAAGTTTGGAGAAATGATGAATGATTTTTAAATGTTCCGAGCTGGATGGTATTGATCTGGACAAAAGTTTACTTTTAACAGGACGGCGCTATATATGTCACAGCAGCGACGAAACCATTGTTCTTTTGCTGAGAATAGTTTTTCGAGCCTTTTATCTCTCGAAAATCCAATCACAATTGACCATCGTGATCTTGTAATTTACACCTTGCGATTTTATCTTTCAAGAACTCAGCATCAGTTTTAGACCAGCCTGGATGGATTTCACGAGATTATCGATGACATAGGGCAACCATTTTACCATTGCAAAATTTTTCATCTTTTATGGTCCCACAAACGAGTTCATGGTGGGCAGTTGGATGATATGTATCTTCATTTTTCTCCGAATACCTATATAACACTGCTTATTGCATAAATTCGATATGTTTTCGTCAGTAAATTTCTCAGAAAGTATATTATCTTGAGAAAATAGACTCCCAATGAAATTCTATATGCCGTAATATTTTCATTTAACATCCTCCCAAAAGTATGATCTTCGTTATGAAATAAACAACTGTATCTCAGTGTTTTTTTTTTCTAAATAACACCGCTTATTGAAAAATGCGATATGTTATGGCTAATAAATTTCCCCCAAAAAAATATAGGGTTTCCTCCCTTCTCCCACTTGCCTTTCAACATTTATTTGCCACACATTAAAACATTATTTTAGCATTACAAATTATATGTTGCATACTATTAGGCACGGAAGAAATTGTGTTGCCTATTTTCAAGGCTGTGTTTTTATGCTATCATTCAAATGAGCGAGCTACTATCTATCAACAATCAAAACCAAGAATACAGCCACAATTTTTTTCAACATTTATTTTCTTTATGCCTCTACATTTTTTTCTCTAAAATTTGTATTCTGCAAAATTTCACCTAAAACTATATAACATGTTCAGTCATGTGCAGCATTTTTTTGAGGTTAGCATATAATTAAAAGTACTAATGAATGAATATGCCACGAATATGAATATGCAAGAGATTTTCTAGAAACAATTTTTCAAATTAATGTAGATATACTCAGATATCAGCTGTTCCATATACACACACACAACTTTGGCATATTTCATTGCATACTTTTAGGATCACAAAAATAGTTGGTTTTATCAAAATGTATAAAGAGAAGGTATTTCGTTTCTGCCATCTCTACTTATTACCATTTTCTGTGCCGAATTTATTGCCATATAATTTCGTATGTTAATGTTAAACTGAAGTAATTAACAGAAGAAGAGGAATATTAATGTTTCCTGTTGGTTTTTGAATTTTTGATTTCATAGTATAGTTTTGGGGATTGTAATTAAATTGAATAAATTATCCCACCTTTTCCACCTCTTAGCTTTGTCGGAGAGTAAGAAAAATTAAAGCTTAGGCCTAACATATGTTATAAATAATTTAATTAACCTGAAAGTAGGCAATGAAAAAAATCGCCGCCCTACCAGGAAACGAAAACAAAAATGACAATGATTTCTCATAGCCCCCATTTTAAGTTAATTAAAAAAAACAGTTTTTCAAATTAATGTAGATAATCAGCTGTGTCACACATAACTTTGGTATTTAAGGGCATACTTTTAGGATCATAGTTGACTTTATTGTAATGTATAAATAGGAGGTATACTTTTCTGATGTGCAGAATTTATTGCCATATAACTTCGCATGTTAATGTTCAACTAAAAAAATTAAGAGATTGGTAGGCTTTTTTTGAATTTTAATTTAATAGTATAGTTTTAGGGATTTTAATTAAATGGAATTAACTTTTTCTCTTTTCCAACTCTTGGCTTTGACGTGGAATAAGAAATGTGAAAGCTTTGCCTTAACATATGTTACAAATATTTTAATTTTTGTCAAATTAACCTGAAAGTAGGCTATGAGAAAAGATGATAGGCCACATTTTAGGCTAATTACAAAACAAACAAAAAAAACTGAAAAATTATTTGTAACATATGTTTAGGCTAAGCTTTCATTTTTTACTTTCCTAAAATGCTGAGCAATATTTATAATATTCATATATATTGTTGCATACATTTAGGTCAACTAGCCATGTTTGCAAATTAAATACCCAGCCTAGAAAAGGCATACATGTTGTTTGTGTTTTTGTGGCCTACTTTTGGGGGGTAATTTGTTCATATGTATTTTGTTTTCTCCACCAACATTTCATAATTTTAATTTCAAACAAATGGTTGCAACAAAAAGAAAGAATTATACCACTAGATAGCCAACAGATGGCGCTGCATACAAATGTGTGTGTGTGTCTTTTTGGAAAATATCCAAACGACATTAGCTAACATAATTTTTTCCCCTTTCAATTCAGTTTTTCTCCTCTTCGTGTTTGTGTTGAGTATTACAGGAAACTAAATATCCTAGCATCTGCTAGGGAGATATGTATGAGAAAAATAATAGTCCTTTGCATTATTTTTCCCTCCTCCTACTCCCTTCTAGATGGGGGTTTTTCATTTATGACATTTTTTTATGTAAATATTTTCCGGTTTTTTTTTCCACCGCTCATCTCTTTTCATCATCTTCTCTCGTTACAGTTTTACGGGATGATTTTCGCGCACAGCCAAAGGATACCCGGGTGGCTAAAGGCGAAACAGCATTGTTGGAATGTGGGCCACCAAAAGGTATTCCGGAGCCAACATTAATATGGATGAAGGTAAGTTTTTGTTGTTGCTACTGCTGCTGTTCTTCTAACATACTTAGAGGACGATGGAATGGCTGACTGAAATGCCATTTGTTTTTTTTTTGTAGTATTACAATATGTATGTGTGTGTGTACACATATATGAGACATTATTAAGTAGATATGTAAATATGCATATGTGTGCGGAGAACAGTATCATTTTGTTGTTATTATGTTGCACACACACCCACACATATCACATTATCCCTGCTGTTATTTTCAAAAATGGGATGCATGATTTCCCATCGCATCCGTAACGCATATTCATGTCATGCATAAAACATCGCCCGCCCGGCTGCCTCCCTACCAGGAAGCAAAAACAAATATCATTCGTTCTTCTTAACTACAGGTGTATACCATAAAGCTCAATCAAATAACACATAATATTGCATACCTTAAGGGGTAAAAATAATATCATTGCAAATGATTTAAACGGAGAGTATCCTTTGCTTTCTTTGCTCAACATAAATATGATTTTCTTATTTTTCTCTCTAAATTTCCTCTAAACTCGAGCCGCCCCCCATACATATACCACTTTATTTTTATACTGGCTCTCTCTCCCCTGAAAAATATGCAATAAAATTCTATATTCATTTTCCATTTTGTTTTGGTTAACGACACCTGTGTGTGTGCACCAATCCAAATAATAAAGGATGGGATGGAGTTAGGACTTTCGCCAAAAAATGGAAATGTCATGCAAAATTTATTTCCAAAAACAAATGGCAAAAATACAAAATGGAATGGAATTTGAATAATACTTCAATTGTTTATGTTGTTTTTTTATTTCTTCTTAAAAAAAGTAAAAACTACGTAGACATGATGTTGCATGACAATGTGGATTTTAAATGTGGAAATAAATATTAGAATTTATTTTAAGATTTAGCGAATATTTGGGGTTATATTTATATGAGGGCTATGTCCAATTAATGACCGACATATGTCAATTTCGAACCCAATATTTTTGTTTTGTGTCTCAATTCTTTGCTTCAGGAGTCATAATTATATGTGGAAGATGCCTAATTGCTGGCCGATATATTTCATTATCGTCAGCTTGGAGTTTTTTTATCACGATAGAATTCCATAATTTGTAGGGTAAAACTGACTATTTCGTGTAATGAATATCCCCTATACTATGGTAGAAGACGCCTACATGGGGACAACCCCAACACATGGAACTAATCAGCTAACTGTTTTAACATAAGAAGGAGGTTATATGAGAACTACCCCTAAAAGGGGGTGAACATTTATAATTTTTGGTAGGAAGATATGCTACCATATGCGACCGCAAAATTAGGTGTACCCTTATATGGGGGCTATGCGAAAAATTGACCCATATTTAAAATTTTTAGTGAAGTGATTTGCTAACCAATAATAACTCAATGTACCAAATTTCAGCGAATTCCGTTGAAAACCCCGCTCAAGAACCTTAAAATACCGAAAATTGGGGGTACCCTTATATGGGGGCTATCCGAAAAAATGGACCTATATTTATATTTTTTAGCACGGGGATTTGCTATCCAATAAGAACCCAAAGTACCAAATTTCAGCAAATTCGATCGAAAAATGCGATAAAAACCCCAAAGATTCCGCAAAATTGGGTGTACCCTTATATGGGGGCTATGCGATAAAATGGACCTATATTTATAATTTTTAGTACTGAGATTTGTTACCCAATAAGAACCCAATGTATCGAATTTCAGTGAATTAATTTGAAAAACGCGCTCAAGAACCTTAAAATACCGAAAATTTGGGGTACCCTTATATGGGGGCTATCCGAAAAAATGGACCTATATGTATAATTTTTAGTACGGAAATTTGCTACACAATAAGAACCCAACGTACTGAATTTCAGCGAGTTCGGTCAAAAATTGCGATAAAAACCCCAACAATTCCGCAAATATTGGGTGTACCACTTATATGGGGGCTATGCGAAAAAATGGACCCATATTTAAAATTTTTGGTGGAGTGATTTGGTAAACAATAATAACTCAATGTACCAAATTTCAGCGAATTCAGTTGAAAACGCGCTCAAGAACCTCAAAATATCGAAAATTGGGGGTATAGGGGTACTCCCAATTTTCGGTATTTTAAGGAGCTATGCCTAAACGTAGCCTATCTTTGAACTTGACCTACCTGCAGACAAAAGACTACAAAATTTTGGCGATCTATCGCAATTCGTGATTACAACAGGCAGACGGACATGCATGATCGTCTCGGAATTTTACGCTGATCAAGAATATGTATACTTTATAGGATCGGAAAAACAAAACTAATATACCTTCCATACTATGGTGGAGGGTATAAAAATAGACTAAATATATTTTAAAATATGGCCGATACAACAAGGCTTATAGCTAGAATTTCCAAAAATGTTCTTAAACATTCTATCTGTCTAGATAGACATTGAAAATATATATTTAAAACCAGTGAGCGGAGCAGTATAGTCGGACGGGGCCGACCATACGATAACCCTACACAACTATCACGTAGCTTTAACTTTCTGCGGATTTTTATTCCGAGTCTGGGCAATATTTCGTGATAGTTGCACCCTCTTGCCCGATTAGAGGTCAAAAGGACATCTTCCTTACACTGACATATTTTCCGAATATTTCTAACATTCGGTACTTGTCCATATTCCATTACCCGTGGGTTGTGTTTTCATGTTCGGCTTATAATTTTGGCCTATAGATCGACTTGAAAACACAACAAATTAAGTTTTCGATCCACTTCATCCCAAAATTATTATCTGATCATCACAGAAAATATAGGCGTTGTCCTTGACGAGAACTAAAACCTCATGGAAATTCCAAAGCGATCAGCCAGAGGGTGGACCCTCCGGTGTGGTAATGGGTTAATACATAATATCTGAATACGTAGACACCTGCAAATACTTAAGTGTAACTCCCACATCCGAGTACATACAGTAATATAATTGGTATCAATTTAAAGGTCAACCGCTCCTCTTGGATATACTATCAACTTCTGGGGTCTATGCCCTTCAGGTGTAAATATATACGCTATAGAACAGAAATTTTGTCATTTTTCACACAAAAGTCAAGGTCCATTTGACCCGCCAAATATTGACAGATCTTTATCAAAACAGGCATGCTTATTCTTTGACCCGATCCCGTTCTCCTTGTGAAAATTCGCGATGTTTGGGCCATAATTGCGGCCTTTGGAGCGGCCAGAATTTTTCACACAAAAGTCAAGGTCCATTTGATCCGCCAAATATTGACAGATCTTTATCAAAACAGGCATGCTTATTCTTTGACCCGATCCCGTTCTCCATGTGAAAATTCGCGATGTTTGGGCCATAATTGCGGCCTCTGGAGCGGCCAGAAAATCAGACAAAAATAATGTTTTTGGTCCATTTTATCATCTAAATATTAACCGACCTTTAGGGGTCTTCATTGGCCAGAACCCATCCTACATGCAAAATTTCGGGAAGATTGATCCATAACTGTGGCCTGTATCGTGTTTACAAATTATAATAGACGGACGGACACACATGTCTAGATCGACTCAGCTAGTCGAGATATACCGATCGGTATACTTAAAGGTGGGTCTAGGGCCAATATTTCGCGGCGTTACAAACTCTTGGGGCTGCACAAAGCTATAATACCCTGACAACATAGTTGTGTAGGGTATAAAAATCACTAAAATAGAAAAAATATTTTTTTTACAATAGTCCCTAATTATATTTTAAGAATAATCTTGAAAGGGTCCTAGAATAACTTTCAATGATATTACCATATATGTTTCAAAAATATTTATCAAAGCTTTCAAAAAAAATATTCCGTTCGTCAACAAACTAAATTTGACTTAAAAAGAAGCCAGCCATTTGTGCGATGATCCTTTTCTTTTATTTTTTCCATTCGAAAGAAATCCAATTCTCAATACTTATGATGCATGACTTATGGCGCATATGAAATTTTATAACTCTCATAAGTGCAGTAGTAGTGCAAACAAAAAAAAAAAATAATAACCGAAATATATCTACACACCCACACACATACATACATATTTATATGAAAATAAACCATAAAACAAATATAAGACATTTCAGAAATGATAACCCCCAAAAATATCACCTCTCATACTCATGTTTATTTTTTTCTCTCTTCCCTTCTTTTTTTCTCTTCAACATTCTTCGTTTCATCATCGCCGAAAAAAACTAACACCCACAGGACGGTGTGCCTCTGGACGATTTGAAGACAAAATCTTATGGAACCACATCACGTATACGCATTGTCGATGGTGGCAATTTATTGATAAGCAACGTTGAACCAATTGATGAGGGCAACTATAAGTGTATCGCTCAAAATATTGTCGGTACCCGAGAGTCCAGTTATGCTAAACTAATTGTCGAAGGTAAGTTGTATACACACACCTACACATGTACTCACTGTCATACAAAAACACGAGAGTCCACTACGGTTTGATTGAAGTGATGATGATACAAGTGATTTGATATTCTACAACGGTAAAAAGAACGAACGGCGGACATCATCATCGAACCTAACGTTTAGGGAATATTGTTTTGTTGCTCCTCTCTTTCTCTCTCATTCCCTTTGTATACAAAATATGAATGATACTACTTCTCGGAAATGTGTTCGTATGTTGGAGTGGAAGGAGAAGGCGATGTACATAGTACCTAAACGTGATCAGGTTTGTTAAGATGCGGTAAAATTGCCTTTGCGGATTGTGTTGCTGTAAAGAGATGACCATTATGTTTTGATGATGCCTTCGTCGTCGTAGGTAGTTCGGGGGAATGCTACCGGTCGGTCATTTGCTGCTGACACATGTAAACGCGCGTGTGTGCGTGTAGGTGTGGCTAACGCCGGAAGCTGTTAACATTTATGATTTCGTGGGAATAGTTGATGAGGGCTTTGTGAATATTTGATGGATGGAAATGATTGACTAAGGGACACACTTTTTTTTCTTGAAGAGGAAAATTTGGAAGGTTTTATGAACACAAAACATTGCATACTTTTAGGCTATATATTTTTTTTTTGACTTCTAAGGTTAAATATTTTGTCTTGCAAAAGGTGTAAAATGTAACTTAACTGACAAATTCTATGTAAAATATATATATTTTTGGGAAAAAATATATTTGAAAAAACAAATAATAATTTTAAGAATAAACCAGTGAGCAAAGCAGTATAGTGGGACGGGCCGACCATATGATACCCTACACAACTTCCACGAAAATCTAACTTTCTGTGGTTATATATTCTGAGCATGGAAAATACTTCGCTATATTTGCACACTCTTGATCGACTAGAGGTCAACTAATATTACTAATATTCAATAAATCCCTTCTAATTACTTGTCCAGATTCCCTTCATGGTGAGTTGTGTTATGGTGTTCGACTTTCAATTGTGGCCTATATATTGACTAAGAAAAACACAAAAAATTAAGTTTTCGGTCCACCTCATCCCAATATTATTATCTGATCATCACCGAAAATTAGGCGTTATCCTTGACCATTCCTGAATCCTCATGGAAAATTTCAAAGCGATCCGTGCTGTCTTTCCGGCTCTAGTGTGGTAATGTGTTACTAAATAATATCTGAGTACGTAAGCACCTATAAATATTTAAATGTAACTTCCACATCCGAGTAGATACGACAATAAAATTGGTATCAATTTAAAGATCAACCACTCCTCTTGGATATACTATCAACTTCTCAGCCCTATGTCATTTAGGAGTAAATATATACGCTATAGAATAAAAATTTTGTAATTTTTCACACAAAAGTTAGGGTCCAGTTGACCAGCGAAATATTGATCGATCTTTATCAAAACAGGCATGCTTATTCTTTGGCCTAATCCCCTTCTCCATGTAGAAATTCGCTGTGTTTGGGCCATAATTGCGGCCTCTAGACCACTGTTCACCAAACAGGCGCCCAGGGGCGGTTTGGGAGAGTACCAATACAATCACATTTCATTGTTCAAACTCAACATTATTCTCGACATCGAACATGTCGTATGCTTGGTAATGCATTACGTATATGTTAATGCAATAGTGAACAGTGCATCTGTACCGAGAGAGCGAAAATTACTCTCCCAACGGATCTATGCCTGTGTCCAACACAATCATAAGAGTTTGCATATGTATTGTTGGCTAACCCTGCTCTAGAACGACCAGAAAATCAGACAAAAATTTAGTTTTTGGTCCATTTCATCCCCTAAATATTAACCGATCTTTACCAAAAACAATAGGGGTCTTCATTGGGCAGAACCCATCCTACATGCAAAATTTCGTGAAGGTAGGTCCATAACTGCGGCCTGTTGACAAATTATAATGGACATACGGGCGGGCGGACGGACGGACGACACACATGTCTAGATAAGCTAGTCGAGATATAACGATCGGTATACTTAAAGGTGGGCCTAGAACCAATATATCGCGGCGTTACAATGCTATAATACCCTGACAACATAGTTGTGTATGGTATAAAAATAAATGTTTTCTTTTTTTTTCAAAAAAATATTCAAAAAATATGAGGATGATGGAAGTTCTTTTGTTTGCAAATAGTCTATATTGTGGGTAATTTGAAGTAATTCTAAAGACGCAATAAAAATCGTCTTTAGAATTACTTCAAATACCCACAATCTAGACTACTTGCAAACAAAAGAACTGCCATCATCCTCTTCACATAAAATTGAACTATTTTGAAGTTCACACAAAAATCCTGTGCATCTTATAGCCAGACTTTAGACTTCCTCTACTTTATACAGTGACATTGCCACATCAGTTCCAGAGTCTTGCTAAGGCAAACAAACAAAAAAAAAGAACAATCAAATAAAAATCAAAATCCCAAACATAACTACCAAATATGAAAAAAAAAAAAAAAAATTCTAGCACTCAAAGAAATGAAAATCACTTCAAACAATATTCGAAAAGCTAACAACTGTGACAATAACAAATAAAAACAACAGCATAAAAAATAGAAGATGCACAGCAGGATTTTGCACGATTTTTTACTGTAGAATAAGAAAAAACTAATAGAAGATATTTTCTTATACGACATAAAGACAAATATTCAACATTTAAATGAAGGCAGATTCATGAAAACTCTTGAAGAAGAAGACAAAAAACTGGAGCAAAATCATAATACCACCACCACAAACACTAAACTAAATAATCCAAATCCAAATGTCACCAGAATTATTTCCTGAATTGTAATAAAAACATGTGGCTTTAATATACTCTCACGCTAGTTCCCCCATCCCTCTTTCTTCATATATTTTTATATCTGTGTTGAGTTAGGAAAAAAATTCAAATGTGCAGTGGAAATCTTTTATGACAATCTAACCAATCTGTGCGACATACTTCTTCCTCCTTTTACTCATGTTCCTTGCATTGGCTTTGTCAATATATTTATCTAATAATCGTAAAGCGTTTAAATTAATAGCCCGGTAATTTGGAAACTTTGTAGTGGCGATAGCTATCATAGGAGATTTGGAAGAATCGTGGCTTTAAAGAAAATATAGAATATTATTTATATATTTTTTTTGTTTAAAATATTAGATATTAAATTAAAACAAAATTACAGAGTTTTTATAAGAAAAATCATTAATTGTAAAAATATAATTAAAATACTTTTTTTTTATAAAGAACGTCATTTCTATAAACTTCATTAATTGTAAAAATTAATATATATATGGGAAATTACAAAATTCTTTTAAAATTCCATAACAAAAAATTTTAAAAAATTTTTTGCGGGCACATTCATGATTTTTGGTACATAGGTTAAGAAAACTATGCTGATTCGAAATATGTTCGCGTTCACAAATTCGGATGCTGCGCACAATAGTTATAGCGATTTTAAATCTTGTATTTCAAATATAAATTAAATTAATTCCTATTTGTTGTAATTCGCGAATTTCGTCACAAATGGTTAAACACATTTGTTTTCTTTGCAGTACTAGTCAAATCACATTGAAATTTGGTTAAATTGTCGCGAAAAACAAATTGAAGCATGAAGACATCTGAAAATAAAATAAATTACTTTTTTAATTAAATCGAAATGTTTTTTGAATTTTCGATTTTTTTTTTAGTATGGTTAAGGGAATACGGTTTTGCCTTAATCTTCTAAAATATGCGACGCTTTTTTCTTCAAATTCATTTAGATGATTATTAAATATTGGTATATTCATCTGATAACAGTTTCGACTGTAAAAATGACTAAATATATTACAGTTACATTACATAAAAATTATCAATATTTAAAGGCATGCAATTCGCGTATTGGTTGAAATCAGTTGATGCGCATGCGGTTTTCGTATAAACCGACTCAATTTCTTTTAATAATTATGAATTTTTCGATGTTTAATTTAGCGGTCAAAGTGTGCCGCTCGATGCACTTTACTATGCAAAAAACCTAAAAATAACTAAAAATCACGCAACGTGCATACGACTTTTATGCGCATCAGATTTTAGTAATCTCCTATGAAAATACACAAAAGGACACCTATTTTAAAAGGATCGGTTAAGAACCGCGGATGTGCCTCCACAATCGATTTTGGATAAAATACGCATATTATTCGCGTATCGATATATTTTTGACCTATTTTAACCATGATTCGCGAATATGATAACACAAGAATGAATGTATGTGAAATCAATTCGAAGAAAAACGCGATTATATACGCGAATCTGTCAAAATAAGTTTTTGCAGTTTTTCCCACATTCATGGTACCTATATCCGCCGTTTTATTTGGCGGAATTGAACATGGATGGGCTCATTAGATCCGGCAAGTAAAAAAACTAAAATCAGGCGGGGTTCCACGGAAATTTTAGACCCAAAAAATATATTTTTTATAAAAAATTTACGCACCAAATTTTCGTCTTTGGAACCCAATTGCAGAGAAGCTACGGTGAGCACATTCATGAGATATACACTAAACGAAGCAAATTCACGAGTTCTATAATCCTATAATCAGTTTAGTCCATTATCTGGATGCGCATCCTAATTATAAGAAAAATTAAAAAAATACCGAAAATCCGTCTTCAAAATGTCAGAATCTTTTTTGGGTGGATGCAGTGATTATATCGAAAAATCATACATTAGAACCATATTGTCCATGGGGTATTCTGTAACTTAGTCACTGATCACATATGCGTGCGTTGTGTACTTTAGCCACAAATCAGGAAAGAACACAAAAAAAAAACTCGTTCGCTTCAACATATTTTCACCCATTTTTTTTACATTACCACCATCACAGTTTCCACGCAACTTATTATTTATTACCAATATTTTAAGATTTTGTACAAGAACACTTCATTATATAGAAAAGAATTTAAATTATAGGCAATATGTTAATATTTCGCGAGTTATAACCATGCAAACCTTAGTTTCAAGGAATTTAAAAGATTTTTGTAATTTCCCATATATATAAGTGTATATAAAAAATACGATGATTTTCTTATAAAATAATTTTCTATTACCTTTTTTCTCCCCAAGTCAATGAAACATAAAACAATTTCTCTAAAACTCACTCTTCCTCCACTTGTTGTGTTTATTATTTCGTCTGCATGCAAAATCTGTGTAAAGCCAACAATTTTATTTGGTTAAATAAACCACAATAAAGGAAAAATCACAAACAAACAACAACAAAAAAGAAAACAATAACAAGACAAAACACACATAACGCTAAAAATGCCATATTCGTAATTGAACAAACAAAACAAATGAAAAAGAAAACAAAAAAACATAGATGGATATTTTATAACACCATGACAGACAGAAAAGGAGGAAAAGTGGGGAAATATATATTTCGGGGTTTTGTTTCATATATTTCCACACCCAAAGCCATGGCGCTTAAAGTTTTCCATGTTCGTGTTTTTGTATGTCGTTGTCGAAGTCTCCGTAGTCATCGTCAGTGATAACAATTTCTCTCGATGTATTTTTAAATGGCAATGCCGGCACAGCGGCACAACAAGATATCGTCAACATATCATTCACCGCATCTTTTAGTGCATTGATAACAAGGCGCAAAGGAGGGGAGGGCAGAGAGCAAAAAAATTGAAAATATCCAAGGAAAACGTATCACAAATATTTGTATTGGAAAAATAAACGAAATTCCCCTGATGGCGCCAAACTTTCAACTCTTGCAAGCAATGATGGTGTTGCACCGGCATCATCCCCACCCCCCACCGTCCTAACCACTTGAAATGTATCTGCCGCCAACAGCGAGCGAATGAACAATTTTCCTTGAATCCATGCAAGCTATGCGATACATTGCCAAGATGGCTAGATATCCAACCGAGTGTAATGTTATATAAATATACGCGGAGAGCATTTTGACAGAGGAGAGGAAGTATTTTGGGATATATGTTGCGTATGTAGGACCGTGATATATTGATGACAATTTCAAAGATTTGGGTTTTGTTATCTTGGGTATTTGTTTTTTTTTGAGATATAAACAATAATATATCATAGATTTCATATATAAATAGAAAGGTAGAAAAAGAAAATTTTTCAAAAACTTTAAGAAAAAAATTATTTTTTTTTATAATTTTTATAAAAAGTCTAAAATAAAAAATCTAAAATAAATTAAAAAATCTATAACTTATACAAAATACAATATTAATTAATCTATAACTATTTTGTTTTTATAATTTTAATTAAAAAAAAAATAAAATATAAAATATCATTTGTTTTTAATTGTTTTTTTTATTATTTTTATAAAAAAAATGTGTTTATTTTTTACCACAATTTTTGGTTATTATTGTCTTATTTATAATTATTTTTCCAATAATTAATTTTATAAGAAAAAGTATAATATTTCTTAAGTCAGTGAGCGGAGCAGTATAGTCGGACGGGGCGACCATACGATACCCTACTCAACTACCACGGAACTGTATCTTTCTGTGGATGTTTATTCCAAGCCTGGGCAATATTTCGTGATATCTACACCCTGTTGCCGATTAGAGGTCAACAGCACCTCTTCCGTACACTGACATATTCTGTTGTGATGTTTGACTTTCAATTGTGGTCTATACATCGACTGAAAAAAACACAACAAATTAAGTTTTCGGTCCACTTCATTATTTGATCATCGTCGAAAATTATAGGCGTTGTCATTGACCAAAACTGAAATCTCATGGAAAATTTCAAAGCGATCGGAGCTATATTTCCGCCCTCTAGTGTAGTAATGGGTGACTATATAATATATGAATACATTAGCACCTGTAAATATTTAAGTGTAACTCCCACATCTGAGTACATACGACCATATAATTGGATATGCTATCAACTATTCGGGTCTTTGTTCTTCAGGGGTAAATATATACACTATAGAATACAAATTTTGTAATTTTTCACACAAAAGTGAGGGTCCATTTGACCCGCTAAATATTGACCGATGTTTATCAAAACAGGCATCCTTATTCTTTGGCCCAATCCCCTTTTCCATGCAAAAATTCGCGGTGTTTGGGCCAAATAAAGTTTTTTGTCCATTTCATCCCCTGAATATTAACCAATCTTTTCCAAAAACAATAGGGGTCTTGATTAGCCAGAACCCATCCTACATGCAAAATTTCGTGAAGATTGGTCCATAACTGTGGCCTGGGTCGTGTTTACAAATTATAATGGACCCTACACAACTATGTTGTCAGGGTATTATAGCTTTGTGCAGCCCCAAAAGTTTGTAACGCCGCGAAATATTGGAGCTAGACCTTTAGTATACCAATCGTCATATCTCGTCTAGCTGAGTCGATCCGTCCGTCCGTCCGTCTGTCCATTATAATTTGTAAACACGATACAGGCCACAGTTATGGACCAATCTTCACGAAATTTTGCATGTAGGATGTGTTTTGGCCAATGAAGACCCCTATTGTTTTTTGGAAACATCGGTTAATATTTAGGAGATGAAATGGACCAAATACTAAATTTTTGTCGGTTTTTCTGGTCGCTCCAGAGGCCGCAATAATGGCCCGAACATCGTGACATTTTGCATGGAGAAGGGGATTGGGCCAAAGAATAAGCATGTATGTTTTGATAAACATCGGTCAATATTTAGCGGGTCAAATGGACCCTGACTTTTGTGTGAAAAATGACAAAATTTGTATTTTATAGCGTATATATTTAACCCTGAAGAACAAAGACCCAAGAATTTGATAGCATATCCAAGAGGAGTGGTTGACCTTTTAATTAATACCCATTATATTGTCGTATGTAGTCGCATGTGGGAGTTACACCTAAATATTTACAGGTATCTCCGTATTCGTATATTATTTTGTGACCCATTACCACTCTAGCGGAACTATAGCGCTGATCGCTTTGAAGTGTTCCATGAGGTTCCAGTTATAGTCAGGGACAACGCCTATAATTTTCGGTGATGATCAGATAATAATTTTTAGAATGAAATGGACCGAAAACTTAATTTTTTGTGTTATTTTCGAGTCGATCTATAGACCACAAATAAAAGCCGAACGCAACCCACGGTGAAGGGAATCTGGACAATAGCTGTACTGAATACTCATAATATTCGGAAAATATGTCAGTGTGAGGAAGATTTGCTGTTAACCTCTAATCGGGCAAGAAATATCACGAAATATTGCCCAGGCTTGGAAAAAAACACCCGCAGAAAATTTGAGTTCCGTGGAAGTTGTGTATGGTATCGTATGGTCGACCCCGTCCGACTCTATTGCTCCGCTCACTGGTTTTTAATATTTTTGTAATTATAATTTTTTTTATAAATAAAAAACAATTAATAAAGTAAAAAACGTTTAAATATTATTATTTTTTAATTGATTGAAAGAAAAACTTATTGAAATTGTTTCTGTCAGAAAAATAGATATTTATTAAGCGAACCCTAAAGATTAAGATATTTTTTGCGAACCCTAAAAGTATGCACCATTTTTATTTAATTTTAAATATTTTACACTATTTGCTCTATTCTTAGCAAACCCTAAAAGTATGCACTGTCTTTTGTAATTATATTGCATCTTGGAAATTATTATCACCTTTTCAAAGTTAATAACCCTTCAGTTACTTCGACTTTTCAACAAATTTTTGACAAAATGAAATTTATTTTTGATTTTTTTTCTCCCCATCCATCTGTTCGGATCATTGTCACTGTGCGTTGTAGTGTGTTAACAACTGCCGGATACAAAGTTTTAATGTTCTTAAAAAACCCAAAACAAAAAAATAATAAAATAGAGTATTTGTTGACCAACCACTTGTTCCGGTGACATAAACAAATAGTTTTAACTTTGTTACATAACCTCCGCCGTAGCCTTCACCTCCGCCACATAACAAGATTTCATTAAAAACGGAAAACTATTTTTGTTGTCCTGGCCAGTCTCCGTTTTTTCTTCCACTCTCTCTCCCTCTCATGTAAGCAGCTGTTGTGGCTGGTGTTTGTAAGTTCAACTTTTCTGCACATTTCCTTCCTGTATATGTGAGAGTGAGTATGTGTAGGTTTGTCCTGCTTTTGTTTTGTGTATAATAAAAATGTTTGTTGAAAAACAATAAGTCTTAGTAAGTCATTAGTGGTATAATTTTTACAATCTTATTTTGTTGTGGTCCATGGGGGGCGAGTTGGAGGAAGGTACAATTAACCAACAGCTGGCTTGTTGGTTACCTCTTTCTTTTCTTGGTTGTTTTTTTTTTCTTCCCTCTCTGAAACTTCCCCATAGATGACCACAACTTGAGACCTGGGGCTCATTTATTTCCTTCTACTATGTTACAGCTGTGTGTGTGGAATATCTGGATGTTGGGGTGCTGATGAACAACGAAATGTAAAGAAGTACCCCAACAATGTTGAAGAAAAAGTTTACGACTTTTCTTTACCTTAAGCAATATTAACATTTCAAGTTTCATTGTGACCAACGAACGTCCGACCGACCGACCGTTGGACCACAAGAGCCAAAACAAAAACTCTTCAAAACCTTAAGAATATATGTACTTGTCCCTGGGTCGGCTGTGGTGACCAGGACATAAGAAGGCTTAACAGAACAGAACTTTATTAATTTTAACAGCAACAAAAAAACTTTAATTGCTCTTCTCTCCCCCTCCTCTTTCTTTCCAGTTAAACCCTATTTTATGAAAAAACCTCAAGACCTAACCATGCTGGCTGGACAAACGGCAACATTTCATTGTTCGGTGGGTGGTGATCCACCACCAAAGATTTTGTGGAAAAAGGAAGAAGGCAATATACCCGTATCCAGAGTAAGCATACAGCCCGACGACAAAGGTTTGGAAATTTTCAACATTGTGCCAGAGGATGAGGGCACCTATGTGTGTGAGGCTCTCAATTCGGTGGGACAAATCAGTGCCAGGGCCTCGTTGACCGTGCATGGTAAGTTAACTGGTGTTTTAATTAATTTTGTAATTTTTTAATGTATTTTCTCTCTTCTGCTCTCTACTTTTCCTCTCTCTCTCTCTCTCCCTTTTCCATTATAGCCCCTCCCACCTTCATAGTCAAACCCCAAGACAAAAAGGTGGGCCTGAACGGTGTGGCCTCATTTCCCTGTGTGGCCGATGGCAATCCACCACCCTCGGTATTCTGGACCAAAGAGGGTTCCAGCACTCTGATGTTCCCCAACAACTCCTATGGCCACTTACATGTTTCACTTGAAGGTACTCTGCAAATCAATGGTGTACAAAAGGATGATGCCGGCTATTATGTCTGTTCGGCGTTTAGTGTTGTCGATTCGACAACAATTCGAGCATTTTTACAGGTAAGAAAGGGGACAGGGAGAAGGACAAATCAACGTTGGTTGGTTGTCAGGGGATCCAAAACACACACTCATGACAAACCCAGAAACAATCACATAAGTACTTATATGTGTGCTTGTGTGTGTTTGTGCTTTGTGAAAAAATCTCTCATTTTCTGCATCGTCTTCTTCTTCATCTTTTTTTCCTTTGTATTAATCAAATCACTTCACTTCAATAAATTGTTGCCATAGGTTACCTCTGTAGACGATACCCCACCGCCCATCATCCAAATTGGCCCCTCAAATCAAACTCTACCCAAGGGCAGTGTTGCCATGTTACCCTGCCGTGCTTCAGGACATCCAACACCACGCGTTAAGTGGTATCGTGATGGCACCACCCTACAAAGTGGTAATCGTTATACCATTGTTCAGGGTGGATCTCTAAGGATTGATGGTAAGTAGCTGATGAGGGGGGGAAATTATGGGAAGATGCAAAATTATACAAAACAAAAAATTTTAAATTTATATTTCATATTTAAACCGGTAAAGAAAGTAGTAAAGTCGGACTGGACCG